AAAAAAAAAAAAAAAAAAAAAAAAAAGCAAAAAATCAGCACCGCCTTAGCCATATGGCCGTTCAAGATCGGATCTACACGGTGTCTTTCGTGCTCGTAGGGCTAGGCCAGGTCAACCCAATCATTGAAGAGAAGGGTTTCCGTGATAAGGGGGAACTGTCCTTCCATAACCCTTTGCCCAATTAGTGCCGTTACCGATGGCTGAATGACGTTAATAAGGGATTGGGTGGGTTTGGAGTAGGGTTCCAACTCCGCAAGGAAGGGGTTCCTTTCAACAGTTTCAGCCCACCACCCGCCAACTGGGTTCCCACCATGCCGGGGTGTCTGTTCCGGATTAGCGCGTGGAATGAAAGAAAAACGGGAGAGGGAGTAGGGGAAGACAAGGAAAAACCAAAATCAAGACAATAAGGCAATAAGACAATAAGGGGTGCATATCAAGGTTTGATAGGATCAAAGGGCAACAGCAAACCAAACAATCCACACAGAACCAGGCCATCAGAGCAACCAAGGTAAGAGACTCAGTAAGTACGTCATTCCCATATGCATTTTCAGGCGGAATTTCGGGTACCCGGTTGACTTACTACAGTATTAAACCATCGGTCTGAACCAACTCCAAAGCGCAGCCGTGGGAGTCAGCCCATCGACAGTTGCTAGAGGGAAAACCCTCCATGTGTGTGTCTCAGAAAATCCCATGACGTATCCGTCATGCACTCCACCGATATGGTGGTACGCCAGGTCCAGTCATGTCCCAATCATACCATTCCAACTGCTACCAACCCCGATGTCCCCTATGCAGAAATGACAGGATGGCAGACTTATCTATGCGAATTCATTCCATTATTATACTAATGAACAATAAGCAAAGGAAAGAAAGAAGAAAGAAACGAAAAGAGGAGGAAAAGAAGAGAAGAAGAAAGAACGAAAGGGAATAAAAGAAAACTTGGTGTTATGTGATGCAGGGCAGCAAGACACCAATCAGGGGCTATGCCCATGTAGAGCTGATTGATATCCCGCGTAGCCTGTCACAAAGGTGAAGGATAGCTTAAGACAGGGAGGCAGACCAGAAGCGGGGGAGTACAACCCGTGAAGCCGAAGAAACCAAAACAACATACAGACCGTATCCATCCGAAATATAATGTTGTATAGGACCGAAATTCAACAAAAGAAGAGATGGTAGAGCAAAGCTTGAGGCGATCAATTCAGAGAGAAAATCCTCTTTGACTTCATAAATATCCAACTCAATTATCAACAATACTTAGTTAAGGGTGACACAAGCACTAGTATACTGTTATCCGAATGCCCAGTTAGCGAGCAACGAAGTCCGACTCAGCAGAACGTCTGGAGAGAAAACACGTGGGGGCTCGATCAATTTCCATGGATAGGACGACGCCGCAGGAGGGGTGTGGCTCCCCTAAAAGCTTTTTCGCCGTTGCCACTCAACCGGCTCATCAGAGGGGTTAGAATTCCTGCAAGACAACCATATCCATACACAGATCAATGTAGACAGCCACTCCCATCCACACAAATACAGAGAGGAGATCCAGGACCATATACCACTTCTTCTGCCTCGATCTTTTCCTCGGGCTCCGGGGTGATTATAAGGTCCTCCTCCGCTCCAGTTGTGAAATCCCAGTCCGCCATAGTCGAAGACCCCGCTCGCTTACACAGGCACAAAATCCTTAGTAATCACACTCAGGTGGAAAACAACGAATCGCTAATGACAATTCCCGAAACAGTTCAACTATATATATCCTGGATGGAACCAGAGCATAGGTCAATCGGGGAAAAGAAAAGAAAAAAGGAGAAAAAAGCAGAAAGGCAAAAAAAGAAAAAAGAAAAAGAGAAAAAGAGAAAAAAGAGAAAAAAAAAAAGGAAGGAAGGAAAGAAGAGAAGGGAAGGGAAGGGGGGAACAGAAGCCACTGGAGCGTGGTGAATTCGTTAATATCCAAAGGAATCTGGGCAGACTCTTGCCCCGCTACAACCCAGGGTTCGCGGATAACCTCAGCATGACATGGAACAACCGGTACCTATCCAATGGTATTGGTGTTGCGAAGTGCATGGCGGACCCCACCCACGCAGTGGTGCCTTTGTCGTGTAGCGTCACGTGGTGTCCACTATCGCAGTGGAGGGTAGAGGACAGGCTATCATGGGGTACTGTCGGGTGGGCATGTGGGAAAAGGTCATGATATTGCGGATCCGGTTGAATAGTTCCCAATTCGCGGATCAACTTTTTTTTCGAAACTGGTCTGGGTATGAAGGTCTGGTTCATTGAGCCGATGGTTGTATTGATACCCTTGTCGAAACAGATGATCCGATCATGTGCACCCAGCCAGGCCACCTATGCTGGATATTTCTGGGTCCTACCGATTCGTGAAGGTTCTTCTGGGTAATGTACTTACCTGGCTCCAACTTTTTGAGGGGTTATCGTCGCCTTCTCCTGTAGGCCTTCGGGGGGCATATACTCACCGCCTCTGTATATGTGTGTGTGTGTGTGTGTGTGTGTGTGTGTGTGTGTGTGTCCCACCCACTACCCTCCGTGTAGGGTACCTAGTTGGGACAAGCACTTGTAAGGGTACCTGTCCCAGACAGGTCCCTTGCAGATGCCATTCCCAGTCCTCCATGGATCCGGAGGGCCGGGAGTCATATCACACACATATACACACAATACTCAACAACAGCACAGCACACAAAAGTTAGTAACGCATCCCATGGGAAGTCGTGAGGATGCCATACACATCATTAGCTGCACACCTGAATGGTTGAAAGCGTTCAGGTTTTCTAAGTACCCTTCTTACCATCCCCCAACATCTATTCCTGTTGAACCCATTCCGACACATTTTGTCCACAATCGTAGCAATATCTTGTGCAGCCTTACCGGGTTTGGATGAGATCAGGAGTACAGCAGCTACCTGCCCAAGGATGATAGACAGGGATTGCTTAACCGGTCTGTTGGACCTGAATCTGATATACCTATTCAGACTCAATCCCATCTCCTCCACTTTATCAAATTTCTCCGTGTTGTAGATCCCCTCTGATGTTACTACTTCCAGTCGGGGGTTCAGAAACGTACCCACCTTGTCGTTAGTGCTGAGCTCCTTGATCTCAATAAGTTCAGGCGGGTATAACCAGATTGGGTCATCTGCGTTGTGCGGGTGGCCATCCATAAGGAATTCACGAATACAGGTGTTATTCAGGGAGTTCAAGTCATCCATGTACCTAAATGTGTGTGAGAATAACGTGGCCAGGTGCTTGTTCCCCGTTTCGATCAACCTCATCATACATTCGAATTCATATCGGAAGAAATAAAGGTTGCACCAGATGGGCGAACAAGGTAATCCCATCGGGATCCCATTCTTTTGCCTCCAGACCCTTCCGCCAAACTGGATGTAGTTCCTGTCTGTCAACCACTGATTCATCTCAATAAGCTTCTCAGGCCCAAATGTCCTATCATTAGTCTCGGTTGTCCCCTCCTTTGTCCATCCATATCTGATTCTACCATTGCTCAAAGAGCTGATCCTGATATATCCCTCTCCTTCCACCCTACGCCTGAATCCAAAGCCTTTCTTAATGGCAAACGAGAGATCAGAGATTAACCCGTGCTTCGAAGTATCCGTAGGGATTGTTTCAAAGCAGCGGCTAATGTCTGCTGAAAAAAACGAGAAGACAGTCTCAGGTAGGTTCAACATATATTCATTAATGGAATCAATAGGCCACTAGAGGTTTATCTGGACGTCATGCAGGGCTTTAATCGTTCGCGACATCTCTACGCAGTATTTTTGTAATTCCTCACTGACTAGTCTTAAAGCACCAGCACATAATGTGGCAACAGGAGAGAACATGCATTGATTGGCATTAGTGACCCATCTTAAAGTCTTCTTATGACTCTTGTAGTTTGCCATTAGGTAGGGAATCTTATCAACCCCCATTGGGTATTTCAATGTATTGTCTCTTTTCATAATCCCCACCATCTCCTTCGCTCCATGCTCAAGCAATTCAAAATCGGGCCCTGATAACCTCTCAAAGGCCAACTGTCTAACGGAATCCTTGCAGATGACAACAGGAGTGTTCGTGGCTTTGTCCATGCATGCAACAAAGAAGAATCTAGTAATATATGCTACCTCATGTGAGAGAAAATAGTCCTTAAAGTCCAAAATCTCCTCCCCGCTGTACCTCTTCTTATATTCCACAAACTTACCGAAGCAATACTGCTTTATGCCTATCATAACCTTATTCTCAACTACCTCAGGAAGATCGTACTCCTTATTGTACAGTTCAAGCGTGTCATCCAGTACTTTCAAGATTTCCCTAACAGCTATTTCAACATTAAGCCTAGTGGTGACAATGTGGTTGAGGCCGAACCGCAGGATAGTTCTGAGTTGGGGGAGTCGGGAGATTGTATAGTCAATAGTAATTACATGTGGTCCAACAGATTTCCCGATCCTCCCGGTGTCCAACAATTTCTCGCTGGTTGGCTCGACAAACCGGGCGTATCTACTACTACATGGACAAATATGTATATTAGTCTGCCATTGATGTAGGTTAAAGTCACGAAAGACCTCTGCGGGCTTGTAGAGTGTCCTGGAGACTGGTTCATTATATGTCCAGCCAAAAGTGACAGTACTCATCCCTTCGGCGAAGTGCTCCCCAACAGCCACTGCCATTAAGGAGACGATTAGTGCCTTGACCGAGATTGCCTCCAGTAGCCGACTTACGTTTCTCATATGTACAAACCCCTTGTGAGGCTCCTCCTGCCTCCTGCACCACTTCCGCCTACCCGAGAGGCCCAGCCCAACCTGGCCCATGGATTCGTGCAAAAACAGAGCAAAAAACAGATATCGTCGGTACGGTTTAAGCTATCTATTAACCAGCGGCGCCGTGGTAATCCGTCCTAGGGGGGAGTAAAGGGTATTATGCACACGTGCATTTGCAGGGAGGCCGATGCGGGCATTATAGTCGCGAGGGGGGGGAAAAAAGGGGAGAGGGGGTAAGAGAGGGGGAGAGAGAGAGAGGGAGAGAGAGTAAAGAAGAGGAGAGAGAGAGAGAGAGAGAGAGAGAGAAAGAGAGAGAGAGAGAGAGAGAGAGAGAGAGAGAGGAAGGATGTGAAAAGAGGAGGAGGTAGAGCTGGAGGGTGGAGGCGATAGAACGTGAGAGAGAGAGGGAGGGAGGGGGTACACCGGCCATCTCATATTGTAACTGCCACTAGATCAAGCAACACCGTCGTGGTGTGCCTCCATCCCTCGTTGGCCTCCCTCGCCATCCTGCTCCGAGCCGTTGCTTGCGTTTTCGGCGATACCCGCTATGTTGGAGCCAGACAGTACGAACGCATCCTCGGTGCGAGGTCCCGGTGACCTTGGTTCCGCCATCAGGGCATCTTTAGTCCTTGCAATCGTTGCCCAGTAGTCTGCATCCGGGCCGAACAGGCCGCCGAATCCATAGAAGCAGTCCCCTCCTGCGTCCTCACGATGATCCAAGGTAGCAGCGACTGAGGAGGCAATCTCACACATAGCCGTTCTCATTGCCGACCAAAGCAGCCCACTCCGCTCTCCTGGGAACGCATCCTCCCCTGAAACACCCCTTAGCCTAGTGTCACAGCAGATGCTCCCCTCCTCCAACCTGGTTCTGGAACACCGTATCTCCCCAATCACCACATCCTTGTATTCCACCGAGAGGACTATCCCCGCAACAGTTGTGATCTGTGGTTGTGCCATCAAGACGTCCGCCATTGCGAAGTTGTCCATAGGTATAGCAGGGTGCGCAGAGCTCCTCTGGGCCTCCCAAATCTTCGGCTTAATGATCCTAATCAAAGTCGGACCCGCCGTAGGCCATGGAAGAAAGATGTCCGGGTCGAGCTCCACCCTGAGTATCTCCGGAATGCGCCTGCCGATCTCCAACGCCATACTTCGTCTAAGAGTGGACAACCGGAAGTTGTCTTTATTTCGATAGGGCAGGCCGMAGTATATTCCACACCGTCGATCCACTGCAGTTACCTTGCTCAAACCTGCAGCACGTKTAGGCATCATYAGATGACTATGGTAGCAGCGTAGCAATAGGCAAGTGAAAGGAGGACAATGGAGTGGAGGATTCTAACCAACTTGTAGTTCTGCCCTCTTAACTCCGCGATTGTCTTCCTWAAGAGGCGCRTYTGCAGATCCCACRCATCTCTRTCCGCAAGAAGAACCGCCCTGTGAGAACGCCATAGATTACTAAAGTCTTTAATAACCGCATTATGATTAGACTTCAGCCTGCGCAGGATGAGATTGGTCCAGATACGCGGGGCTGAGTCCGACTGCGAGATACCCACAAGCTCCTCTCCTTCTTCGCGCAAGATGGTGACAACAATTTGATTGCTTCTCTCAATAAGAACATCGTAGGCATTCTTAAGCTCCATTTTCGATGCGGCCAAGCGGCGGGCATGCCTCCAGATCCTTCTTTCGGTTGCACCCCCATTGTGTGTTATCTGCTAGGGAAAGCAGGACAAAGGAGGGAAGAAAAAACGAGGGGAGAGGGGGGGGAAAAAAAGAAACGGGGAAGGAAAGGGGAGCGGATGGCCGAGGAAAAGGATCAGAGGAGGGGGACGGGAAGGGGAGACAATGAAATTATTCATATATATATATATATATATATATATATATATATATATATATATATATATGTATGTGCGCATAGGACTATGCCTATATCTCGTAGCCAGATACGGTGCGTGTATATATACAAGTACATACGTATATACGCGTATACCTATGTTGTGTGTATATATACTGTGCACATCAGGCTACCATGGTCCGTGGATTCCTACATCAGGATGCCCTAGCCTTGCGTTTCTTGGAGGAGTCTCCTCCTCGTGGTACTACCGGGACAGTCATTAGAAATGACAGTGGAGAGCTGACTGCTGATCGCGCTTGCAGGACGGGAGGAGGAGCACCCAATCGGAGAGGCAGCGATTTGAAATGAGTTTAGTAGGGTCTGTTGCCGCGGTGATATCGGGTCGACCCTCTTGTTTGCTACGCCTGCGGGAGATTTATTTTTCCTCTTCTTTGGATTCGGCAATTTCGGGGCCGGAAGCCCGAGGGTGATGCGTGTAGGGAGGATTAGGTTAGCCAAGATCTTTGGGCAGGCATCAGTTCCGGGTTCCTCTCGAGGTTGCGTAGGATGGTGAGCATCATTTCGCGCATCCAAATGAACGTGACCGAGGCTTTTGCGAGCTCCCTCCAAGAGTGACGCAGATGGTGGAGGAGGAATGCGATCCGGACTTGATTAGGGCCCGCCTCTGCTTTCACGATCTCAAATACCAGATGGTCTGATCGAACCAGATAGGTTCGCCATTGCAGGTTCGGGAGTTCCTGTATCCACACCTGCACTTCAAATAGGGGCGACCGACATTCCTGACCCTGCGAAGATTCCTCATGTCCAGGCTGAGAGATGATGAAATCATCTTTTGCATGACCACTGGGTTAGCGAAGACACATTTGGTGGGGTCAAGCATACTCAAGGTGGGGAAGGTAAGTTTACCCCCAAAATGCAAAGTGGTGTCGGCATAATCCAGGGTACCTGCCAGCACTTTCTTCCGACATTCCTCGACCTCACTCTTCGACAAGTCTGCCAAGAACTTCCATCCTTTTATATTAATCAGGGCTAAGTTGTTGAAGCCCCCCTCCACCCATACCCTATTCTGCAGCCTCCTTGCCCTTTCCTCAACCCATTGTGTCGAGGTGATGGGGACAAACCCGTTTTTCCGATGCCGATCGTTTTCGTTTCCTGCCCCACCTGGAGGGGGTAGGGGTAAGGGTTGGTTGTCCAATAATTGCCTGAGCTCCTCCTCCTCGTCTCCCATAATCCCCATGAGTGCCGGATCATATCCGCCCTCATCCATCCGTACGTCTTCCACGCCTGGATCCCCCCCGATATCCCAAATTTTTTTTAGGGTCTCTTCCAGTCTGGCAGTTCTTCCCAATATCCCTTCTCGTTCCTTGATCATGTTCTTTCTTTTTTCCTCCGCCTTAACCATATGGCCATTCAAGATCGGATCTACACGGCGTCTTTCGTGTTCGTAGGACCAGGCCAGGTCTGCCCAATCATTGAAGAGAAGGGTCTCCGTGATAAGGGGGAACTGTCCTTCCATGACCCTTTGCCTAATCAGTGCCATTATCGATGGATGGATGACGTTAATAAGGGATTGGGTGGGTTTGGAGTAGGGTTCCAACTCCACAAGGAAGGGGTTCCAGGGTGATCCGGTATATGTGAACAGTGAGTTGTTTGGCGCTGAGTCGCTATAGCCAGTTGAAAGCGAACTCGTATCTGGATGCCATATCTCTGAGTTTTGTGTGGGCGCATGTCACCAGCTTGCTGCGCTTACTTGTTTACATGCATGAAAGGTGTGAATGAAAGCAAGTCTGATTCTACTACTACTACTACTAACAATAATAATAATAATAATAATAATAATAATAATAATCAGTAGCGAATTTCAGCAATCAAACAGCATGATGTACACAAGACCAGAAAGTCGTGACCTCGAACCAACAACAAAGTTGCATCACGAGATTCACCAAATAAGAACACATCAAGAGTTCATAATTGATAATGCTGAAATAGTCCCATCATCATCATCAACGAAGAACCAGAGCTGATATCCTATCTGGCGCTCGGCGCCCAGACTACATGTGGCAGATCCTAACTAACGCAAGGAAGATGAGCAATAGCGAACTCCAGCAATAAAACATCACCATACATATGAGACCAGATAGTCTTGACCTCGAACCAATATCAGAATTGCATTACGAGATTCACTAAATAAGAACACACCAAGAGTTTATAATTGACAATGCTGAAATAGTCCCATCATCATCATCAACGAAGAACCAGGGTCGATATCCTATCTGGCGTTCAGCGCCCAGACTACATGTGGCAGATCCAAACTAGCCTATACTACAGTGCAAGAAGCTGACGACAACAGCTTTTCCGAAGTACGAGCATACCGCGGCCAATGCCGCACGCTTCCAGCATCAGGTATGTCTCTCACTACACTCACAACCTCGCTCCACATCACACAGATGCCACTAGCACCCAAGAACCATCTGCGCCCCAACCTGCATAGCGCAGGGCAACTCTATTTGACGATGTATATATATATATATATATATATATATATATATATATTTATCGTTAAACAGAACTGCCCGGTAAACCGTAGGCAAAGAGGGAGAAGAGGACAACAAACGAGGTCTATGGCAAGCTGTTTCGTCAGAGTTTCACCGACTCATCATGAGTATATATATATCTATATATCTATATATCTATATATAGATATATGTATGTATATATATCCTTATCTATATATTTTGTTTGAGTATATAAACATATATATATGTACATATTTCTATCACACGCGGGCTTTTTCACACACACACACATGCGCGGTGGTGTATACTTCCATATTCTTGGGGTAAATACACTCGATATGGCTCGATACACGGGATTGGGGACTTACCCTTCTCTCTCTCCTTGCTGTATTCGACGTAGCTCGATGCGTCCCCGCGATCCATCACGACGTGCAGCATGCCGACGAAAATATGGAGAACCCGACCGGCGCAAGCTCGCCATCTGACGAGTCGGGTGGACGACGGATCCACCCTTGCTACGTCACCGGCACTAGCTGCGCGGGCAGGTGAGTCCCCCTCCCCTTCTTTCTCTCCTTTCCCTTCTTCTTCCTCCTTCTCGTTCTTCTTCTCTTCTTCTTCTCCTTCTTCTTTTCCTCCTTCTTCTTTCTTCTTCTTCCTCTCTACTTCTTCTTCCTCCTCCTCCTCCTCCTCTTCTTCTTCTTCTTCTTCTTTTTCTTCTTCTTCTTCTTCTTCTTCTTCTTCTTCTTCTTCTTCTTCTTCTTTTTGTTGCATTCTACTTCTGCCATTTCGTACGTTTCTGTCCGTGCTCACTTTCTCCCAAGTTGCACTTCCTCCGCGCGGTCTTCTTCGTTCCTCTTTTCTCGATCTCCTCCCACGCGTTATTCCGCCCGCCAGCTTCGCTAGCCATCTTGCTTGCTTGCGTCATCTCCCTGTGACTTTCTTCCTCTCTTTCTCCTCCTTCTCCTCCTCTTCCTCCTCCTCCTCCTTCTTCTCCCTCTGCCTCTTTTCCTCCTCCTCCTTCTTTTTCTTCTTCTTCTTCTCCTTCTTCTCCTTCTTACTCTTCTTTCCTACGTTCTACTTCTGCCCCACGCGCCTTTCTTCCCGCGCGCGCACGCTTTCTCTTCCTGCTTTCCTTATTTCCTCCTCGACTTCACGGTCACCTCGTTTGATCGCGCCCCGTTTCTTCCAACTCTCGCTGCCTGTGCGTGGGTTTCCCATGGAGTCGTCTGCGGGCTCGGCCACACCTCAGTCGTGGCACACAGGCAGTGCCTGATCTCAAGACTGAATCTGCCCACGACTTGGGTTCAGATTCGTCTATACGAATCTATGGACTGAAGTTCGAAATTGCAGGCAAAAATAAAAATAATAAAAAGAAAAGAAAATAACAATAAATAAGAATCTAATGAAAAAAAAAAAAAAAACCTAAATACTAACTAACTAACTAACTGCTCATGTTATTCGTCGTGCAGGCAGTGCAACAGAAACCAACTACTAACTTCTAATAACTAGGGCACGGAATCGAGCGCCGACCGACTGGGACCTTATGAAAACGTTGCGGAACTCCTTCACAAAAAAAGTTAGCTCAGGGGTCAATCGGGTTCGTTCCGTACACCTCTTGTTTGTCAGCCTGCACCTTAAACCTACTGAGCTAGCTCCTTTTCTGGTTAGAGAGGGAGCCGCTCAGTTATATGAAGAGTATCGGGGCCCAACCCACCCTGTGGCCTCAGCCTGTTTTTAGGTCCTTGTGTGTGCACATTTGTCGGTCTGCATGCCTGTCGGCTTGAGAGTGCGTGTGACCCGCAAGGGTATTTAGCTAATCGGAAGGCCCAAAATGCCGGTACCAACCTGCGGCCATGATATTGAGGGTTGAGGCGGGGAAAATACTCAAGTGGTGGAAAAAAAAGGCCCGCGACACCTCAGAGCACCGGTAAAAAATACTTAAGTAGCAGGTAGGCCGGCACCACACCAA